TTCGGGAAGACAAACACAGTAGCAATAGAAGTGAAGACTGCAATGTCTCTTTTTTGAGGACCCACTTCAAGTGGGTGGTTTTGTGGGGTGCATGCAAAGCTGGTGAAAGTGGTTCTTACCTTATTCCCATTTCCCTGTAGGCCCAGTGCTTCCCAGACAGTTACTTTTTGCCAAAGTGCATTTCTGCATTTTCTTTCAGATGGACTCTTAGAAGCACAAGCTGCATGTGGGAGTGGTAACTAATATAATCTCCCTGTGAGCTGCACAGAGGACTGTGCAGGGCGGTGCAGCCCAGCAGAATGGGGAAGGCAGCTCCCGGGCAGAGCAAGCACCAGGCCTGGGCCCTGCAGGACGGGTAGACCTCCTGCCTGCCTTCTGCCTCGCAGCCGTGTGGTCTTTAAAGCCATGTGGGACAAGTGATTTTCTAGTGTGTAAGAAACTGGGAAATTTCATATAGAATTTCTGAAACATTTCTCGTGGTTCTTGCAGGCAAGGGCTCATTTTGAGCTCTGTCTGCAGCAAACGGGAGGCCGAGTTGCTTCGGGGGCTCTGCAGCAAGGAGGAGTGAGGCCAAGCAATGCTGACTGCTCCCGGACAGACAGACAGGTCCCGCTCTGGGCTCTTGGCCAAGCCTGGTGGATTATTCCAGTCCCAGTGGCCAGGGGCAGCCCACTTAGCTGGTTTTTGTGGCAACTTTTCCAGCAACTTCTTTTATCCAGAAGTACTGAGCTGCTGAGGACTGGAGCGGCCTGGTCCTAGCTGGGCGCTAGGCAGCCCGGACCTGCCTGTGCACCCGCTGGCAACGAGGACGAGGGGCGGCCCCAGCCCACCCTGGCCCCAAAGTCCCATCCCGTCCCTCCCTTGGCTGCTCCCTCTTCCCGGGGACAGCATCAGGAGCAGCCTGGCTGCCACCCACCCTGGCAGCAACAGCCTTCGGGCAGAAAAACAAAGAGAAAAATGCACAATTGCTCGCCAGTGCTACAGCCAGCGTGACTGTGTTAATTCCCTGGTGCAGTTGTGTTATAGCCACAGCTAATTCTGCATTGTTTCGTTTCCCTGGGGATCAGCTGCAGATATTTTGCATTTAAATATCCGAGAAGTTTAAATGTAATTGGAAATTGATGTGTGGGATACGTGGATACTTTAAACAAATATACTTTGAAAACTTTGTTACAAGCAGGTCTGCTTGAGAAGCGAAGACCTTAACAGGTCAATCGCAGGGAATATTTTTCAGGAGTTAGAAAAAGGTTTTCTTGCCTTGGGTAGAAGCAGTACAACCCCCCCAAAATGTCAAGGGGTAACTGTGGCAGCATCATCAACTTCTGGCAAAATAACACTGAAGGCAAGAAAATTTTCGCTTTGTATCAAAAGGAGATAATGGGATATAACTTTTAAATTTACTGCATTATCAAAATATGCCTCACATTTTTCATTTGGAAATCAACTACTTATGTTTTTTGCTTTAGTAACTCCTGGGTTTTAAACTACTGTTGAAATTATTGTGTTGTTTAGATTGTAGTGAACTTCCCTAATCCCTACAAAGTCCATATAGCCTTTTAGTGCCAGCAAAAGTTAGCGCAGGGATAGGAAGTCATTTCCTTTTTCAAAGCATTCAGTCTTTGCTAATTCCATGCTTTACAGTTGCAAACCTAACTTTATTCAGCTCTGCAGATAATATATATAATATATAATATATAATATATAATATATAATATATAATATTATTATATAAGTTTCTGTAGTTATGCTTTAAGGGTTTTTTTTGCTTCATTCAATAAGAATGCAAATCTCTCCCCCCTTTTTAATGAAAAAAGCCTATTATATTCAATAAATCATATTTCAGTGAAATACTATTGTTTATGTGTGCCACTCCCCTCTAATGAATAGAAGTGGAATTGCTCCATCTCACGCCATGCCGTGGACTCCCATCTGCAGTCAGATTATGGACATTTTCTTTAACTTTCCCTGACAAGGAATTATCTCTTTTTTGGAGTTGAACAGTGTGAGCTTTTTCCCCCTGCTGTTTTTATTAAGGACAAAATAATGCTTCAGGGCCATCAGATCTGGCAATCAGATCTTCACTATGAACTATACCAAGTTTTCTAAACTCACTCCTTTCACGCATAATGCCCATGTAAATATAGAATTTAAACGTGAAGTAAAAAATGCTGTCAGACTTTGAATAATGCATTTGTTCAGTAATTTTAACCATTCCATAAGAACCTTTAAGTTATTGGTTTAGTTGTAGTTAGGTGTGCAAGCCAAGATGTAAATCCATGTAGTTTCACACACTTTTTTGTTGAACAGGGGAATGAATATTCTAATATGAATTACAGGAAGAAAGGATAGGTACATGATACATGTTCTGAGATGTGGCAGCTGAGCACATGCCAGGTGTGAGATTTCTGTGGCCAAAGGCCACATGTAGCAGTCATTCTAGCCTCTCCTTGGAGAGAAATATGGGCATCATCCCTTAACGTACACATCTCAACCAGGCCCAATAGCTCATGCTCAAAAACTGCCCGTTTCTATTGTCTGCGAGGTCACATGTTCTTAAAGGATGGCACAGAAATATAATAAAGCTCTAGTTTTATACATGCTACATGAGTTTGTTAGAGGGAGTCATAAATTGATTTTAAACTAGAAAAGCATGAATTACGAAGAGTGGAGTGGGGATTAGGAAAGGAAGGGGCAGAGGTTTCCACCAGTGACCACACTGAGTCACAGTGTGCAGTGTCTCATCCAAGTCATTCCTAGTATCTATGTTATGAATCTGACAAAAAGACCGTGCCTTAAAGTTAAGAAAAAAAGAAAAACAACAGATGTACATATCTTTAAAACCATCTGGTACAATGACATTTTAGTTGAGTCACTGCATACTCTCTGTGACCTAGGCACTGTCCCTTGCCCCTAGTGTCTTACTCATTTCTCATGCTGATGACTGAATGACTACAAGTTCATATAGTACCGGGAGTCTATATGCTAATAACAGAATGCTTAAATGTGGATATATTAGATTGTGTCTTGCTTGAAAGATATTTATTTTCTGGTTCTCTTTGATAAGCACATAGCACACATTCAGATTTAATTATTGATAAATATTGATAAATTATTACAAAACATCCAAATTTTTCATTCTGATGCAAGCATGTAGGAGATAACAAGGTTTTAAGTAACAGCCAGCATGAATTTGTGAGAAGCAAATCATGTCAATTATTTAATGTCCTTACTAGGTTAAGGAGGTAGGTTAGGCACTATTATTTCTAATCTAGTCTATCACTATAGATTTTGCAGAAATGCTCTTGCATGCATTGAGTCAGCAATGCCATGCTGTTAGAGGGGAAAGGAGCATAAGAGAGGGGAAACAGGCAGTAATATCCTGTGTAAGGCAAGTAATAATCCTTCCACTTTACCCAGCCCTGGTAAGGCTTCAGTTGGGTCTTGTGTTCCACCTTAGTTGAGATAGTTCATATGTGACATGGAACTTTCTGGAGGGATTCCAGAGAGGACAAGGGCGCTATGATATTTAGAAGATATGTCTGCAAGGAAAGAGAGAAATACTTGTTTAGTTTCAGGGAGAAAAAAAGATATGGTGAGACTTCTCAGAAGTCTCTGAATATGTAAGAGTGATTCAAAGAAGAAAGGAACATTATTTCCCAGTCCCCTGAGTATATGCTTAAATGCAGAGAGGGGCATCAGGCTTGACATAGGGAAGCATTTCTGGCGTGTTCTGACATGAAATGTTTTTCTTGTCCAGGGAGTGTAAATAGGACATTGAATAAGAAGGTTGTGGAGTCTCCTCTGCAACAAGGTTTTAAAACACATTAGACCTTAGGCAAATACTTATCAGGTGGCACAGGTACAACTGATGTGTCTGTGAAACAGGAAGGAAGATCTGAGGATCATCTCTGTTCCATGATTTAAAAAATAGGTATTACTATATGATTGAAAAAAAAAAGTTAGGATAGGAATTTGGAAGAGAGAAAAGGTATTTGCTAAAGAATGAAGACTGGCACAGCACATGCAAGAGCCTTTGCAAAACCTGTACAAACTGGGAGTTGAAACTGAGAGCCGCTTTGGATGCAATTCCAACACTCTGGAACCTGTAATGGGAACAAGGATCTAAATTTGCATCCATCAAAATTAAAGGCTGCATTATTGCTAGCTTCTGAGGGTGTAATAGGTGGCTTCATATCTGAGATGAGAGGAAGAGAAAGTGTAATTTCCTAGTGTACTGCTTAATGAGGTCTGAAAATCAAAATGTTCTTCTTATTATTTAGTCCCCTAAAGCATATCTGGTATCCTTACGGAAAACCATAAAATTGAATGTGTTGTTTGTATAGGCTAAAGGCACTGGATGAAAGGCAATATCTTCTTTTTTCACTACCAAAAAAAAAAGTGTAAAAGAAATATGAGACAATCCTGAGGCCTCTAGTTAGGCAAAACTCACACTGGGAATGTGGACCCTAACCTTTTTTATTATTGTTATTTATAGAGAATGCTATACACCATTGCAACTCCTTAGTGTCTTTAAACTGTAACAAGGGGGTAAAGTCTTGATTTTGTTTGCAGCGCACTTTGAGAACTATGGCTGAAAAGTGGAACTACAGAACTCTCATTAAAAATTATCTTTTCTCTTTTCCAGAGAGATCGGTGCTTGCCCAGCCAACATTTATCTTTGAGAAGAAGAACCATGCTTTGAAGGTAAAATCTTAAGCTTTTGTTTTGCATAATTGATAGAAAATGCTAAGAAATGAAGATTTTATAGATGGTGATCCTAGTGGCAGTGGAAGACTTCTGCCTAGGTTAAGACTTGTGATAACTGAACTCAAAATAGAATAAGCAAAAGTAGGGAAAAGAATTCTTTATATATATATATATATATATATACATATATATGTATATATATGTTGGATTGACAAACTTTGTGTCCTGCTCTAGAAAATGGCAGATCTATTCTCCTTGACCCTTCCACCCTTCTGTTTTCTTTCAGCAGCCTGCAGAAGACCCAGTTTGCAAAGCTAGAAATGGTAATAATCACATCATTGAAATAGCATAATAATACACTGGGTTATTCATAGATTTGACCATTGCCTGCGAGAACAGTGTTTAAACCCTCACCTTGTATGAGCCAGTACAAATCCCTGTTAACAGCCTCTCACTGCTTGGGTTGTAAGGCCTCCTAGTATGGTATCCCAGTATGTATAGTATCCCAGTATGGCTCTGTCTTTCCTCCAGAATCTTTCTCCCATCTTACCTCTCAAATTTGTCAGAGCGCCGAACTCCAGAACTTCTGGAAAATACACAGGAATATTAATTAGCTGTATTAGTTCCTATCTGCCCTTTTCTATTCACATAGGCCCCATTGCTCTGTAACTTCTCATTCTTAATGCATTCTGAGCCTGTGGGCGCTGAACTGATTCCAAGTACTGGTTCGAGATCCCCTGACATTGATAGAAATAAAGAAGACTCACTAGGGCTTTGTACCAGATCTTGACTCTTTCACTTTTAGATTCTGCCTTAAAGCTATTATTATTATAAATTGTTCCTAGAATTTATTGTCTTCAAGTTTTAAATCTATATCATACCATTGTGCTGACATCTGCTACCAACTGTTTCTACAGAACAATATATTTACTTTTCTTTAGATCTCATCAGTTGCTCCAGAAAACGGGCAAGATCATCATCTTTTACTTTCCAGAAGTCTGACTCACAGTCCAACACAGGTGTGCTGTTCAGCTCCACTCACCTTTCTGATTACTGCAGTTCTGTAATCTCATCTGGTAAAGAAGAGACAGTATTTTTGGATACATTTAGAAATGTACCTGCATATATTCCATATGGATTCCTGGAACTCAGACAAGGGAGGATGGGGGCTGGAAAGGAATGAGATTCCCCTGTTTGTGGAAGAGAACAGTCCTTCTTGGGGAATCCATGGAAATGTAAAGCAATTTTCAGAAAGGCTTCTACTTCCATCCGTCTGCCAGCTGACCTGGAAATCCCTTTAAAGGCAGTGTATTCCTTCCATAATATTTGGGGAAAATGTGCACAAGTCATTGAAGGCAGTAGGAATGATCGGAGGTTTATAGTATTAATTTAATGTGATGATGGGGCCAAAAAGTTACTTCACAGTTTAGGCCTTAATATATGTATACTGTGTTTTGCTTTATCCAGTCCTATGGCACACCTAAGCTAAAAGGATTTAAGACAGCCTAACTTTAGCTTACTCTGAAAATTACACTGAGGTCATGTATAAAAACCATAGGTACAGGATGGGGAGCATGCCTATACCAAAAAATAAAGCAGAGTTCAGGAGTGAGCTTGGGTGCTAAGCCTCTGGATTGTCCACAGTGTTGAGCTGTCAGCTCACTCCCTGGCTCTGTTTTGAACCTCTCCAATGACCATTTTCAAGACAGAATCGCTGTAATGTGGATAAGCCAGGCTGTGCTACATGGCCTCAGAGACCCCTCTGATTCAGCACTAGAGGCATAACCTGAAGGTCTTCCTCAAAAAGCTAGTAGGTAGTGGGAAATAAGCTGATTCTGCTCCCAAGGAAGGCATGGCATCAAATTGGCTAACCTCAAAAATTATTCTTTTTTTGCTATGAACAAAGGATAATTTCATTCTCTTTATCCTTTTAGATACAACAGTCTCTCAGAAAAGAGGAAGATCGTCTTCCTTTATCATCCTGCCTACCTTTCGCCCCTCCCAGACAGGTAATTAAAAGAAGAAAACAACAAGAATAAATATTTACATAGAAAATCACATGTTAGGGCAGGGTACCTTAATTTATTGATCCTAAAAAAATAACATGAGACCAGATAGCATTTCCATTTTCATGGCTTTTGCAAACTAGCAGCACCAGCAGCTCAAGTGGGATTTTGTGAGATTAAAGCATCTGTTAATATCCAAAAAATATTTTTTCTGACATAGCGAAAACAGCTGCAGTGCTTTCCATGCCTAAATCTCTTCAACTGTAAAGTGAGGACAAGATCTCAGAGATCTCGTTTGGATGAATTGTGGGATATTGCTGAAATACTACCAAAATGGCAACCGGTTATAGACATATAGACAGATAATTTATTACTACTTATTGTTAAAGTTTATATTCCTCATTCTTTAGTAAAGAAGAATAACATATTCATGACCTCAGCTCTTCTTCGAAGAAACACTGACATCAAAAGTACAAAAGAAGGTAACTTGTCATTGCAACATTATATTGACTCTTCTTCCACGAAGACCTTCTTAACAGATAAAGAACAGATAAAAATGACAACCCTCCTCTGTGCTCAGTGAATCCTTTAGGAGGTTCATAAATTACTTATTTGAGGACATAAGTATCCTGTAAGCTCTGTTCTGAGCCTGTGCTCTGACTGTTTATGGTTATATTAATTTCTGAGTAGAGCGATTATAAGTTTGAAAAGTCAAATTCCACATTTCTGATACATGACTGAATGAGGTTAAAATTCTTCTTCCAGAGAAGGCAATGAGGATTCCTTCTTGGCATCTGCAGGTTCAGGATTAAATTTGAAATATCAGCTAACAGATCTATCACAAAGCAGTGCCAGTTTGTTATACATGCACACACACATGTGTGTTTGTGTAAATATAATGTATATATGTAAGTATATGTATGTATTTGTATTACCTTTCTATTTTGTTGGGATACTATGGGTTGGTTTCAATGCAGAATTATGAATTTTAGAAGGAATTAGCATTTTTCAGAACATGTCGTAAGTAAACAATGGCAATAACTGTTATTTAAGCGTGCTCTGCAGCTTTTAGTTAAAGGGGCAAGGCACATAGGTATGAATTACATGTAAGGAAAAAGTCTTTGTTTAAATATTTT